TGATGGATATGGACTCTAACCCCCTGGAACTGTGAGCCCTCGGATTAAATGCTTTCTTTTAAGTTGCCTTGGCCATGGTGTTTTGTCACGGCAATAGAAAGATAATTAAGGCAATAGGCAAAACTGGATGTAGGGTTGAAATGATGCTGTCATTTTCATAGTTATATCCTTTAAATATATATTTGAAGTATGTGGCATTATAACAAAGCAAGGGTAGTGACTGAACAAGCTTTGTTTTAAAATGAATATGGCTGTTTTTAAAAGTGAGCATTTTAAAATTACCAAATAAACAATAGGGAATAGATATTAAAATATATTAAGTAACTACCTCTGCAAATGGTTCATCAGTGTGTCAGCAACTGTGAAGAGAACCGAGGAGACAGCCTAGTCAGTAAAGAGCCACACAAGCATGGGGACCTGAGTTCAGTCCCCAGCATCCACAGGAAGAATGCCAGACATGGTGCATGCCTGCCATCCCTGTGCTGGGGAGATGGACATGAGAGAATCCCGGGAGCTTCCTGAGTAGCCAGCTTAGCCAAACTGGCGAGCTTCAGGTCCAATGCGAGACTCTGCCTCAAAATAAATGATGGAGAGCAATTAAAGAAGATCTATCTCTTGCATCCACATGCATGTGTGCTCACACAGGAACACACATACACCAATTGTTAGGGCAGAACAAAGCATTGCTCTTTGAGAAAAGCCTGATGTTTATGACATTGTACATGTATCCTTACTTCTAAATGTAGCTCGTAGACCTATTTCCTCAGAACCTGTTCTCACACCGCATCATCCTAGGCTCCTCCCAAGCAGAATTTAAGCTTTTATGATCTGTACCACTATCTTAGTGCTGTGGGATATTCTGTATGTTAAATGTGTTGCTCTGATTGGTTAATAAATAAAACACTGATTGGCCAGTAGCCAGGCAGAAAATATAGGCAGGACAAGGAGAGAAGAGAATTGTGGGAACAGGAAGGCTGAGAGAAGGAGACGCTGCCAGTCACCGCCATGAGTACCAACATGTAAGATACTGGTAAGCCACGAGCCATGTGACAAGGTATAGATTTATAGAAATGGGTTAATTTAAGATAGAAGAACTAGATAACAAGAAGCTTGCCACAGCCATATAAGCAATATAAGTCTCTGTGTGTTTACTTGGTTGGGTCTGAGCGACTGAGGGACCGGTGGGTGACAGAGATTTGTCCTGACGGTGGGCAAGGCAGGACTAGAGAAAATTCCAGCTTCACCAAAGGTTTGGTATTTTGTTTATGCCACTTTCCAAATGGACTTTTATTGCAAAATCTATGAAGTCTGTAGCCACTCTTTAAGAGGTGTTGATTTTGATTCACATATACCCATTTTTGAAGTATTATATAGTAACAGATTTTCAGTACCTTTTGGAAACTGTCTCATTAGAAGAAAATACCCATCTCTTGACATGCCACATGCTTCTTCCACATCAAAAGGCTTTCCTTGAGACCTTCATCAATGCATCATTTGACAATAGTATTCTAACTAAGCCCGCTCTCCCCACCACTTTGGATTTTCCCATTTCCCAATCATTGGTTTTTACAGTAAAGTCAAAATAGCAATAGAGCAGCTGTAGCAGTCAGCATTCTCTAGAGTCACAGAACTTATGGAATGCATCTCTCTCTATGTATAAAGGGGATTTATTGGAATGACTTACAGGCTGCAGTCCAGCTAATCCAACAATGGCTAGCTGTGAAAAGAAAGCCCAAGAATATAGTTGTTGCTCAGTCCACAAGGCTGGGTGTCTCAGCTGGTCTTCTGTATATGCCGCAATCCTGAAGAAGTAGACTCCAATGCCAGTGAAGGGATGGATGTGCTGACAAGGTGAGGGCAAGCAAGCAAAGAACAAGAGCTTCCTTCTTCCATGTCCTAATATAGGCTTCCAGCAGAAGGTGTGGCCCATATTAAAGGTGTATCTTCCTGTCTCAAGATCTGAATCGAAGGCTTGTGTCTTCCAGCCTTAAGATCTGGATCAAAGAAGTATGTCTTTCCATCTCAAGGGTTTGGACTAGAACTGGATTTGCCCACTTGAAACCGAGAAGAAAATTTCTCACAGGTATGCCCTCCATTTCTGGATTGTAGTTCGTTCCAGATGTAGTCAACTTGACAACCAAGAATAGCCATCACAGCTCCAGAGGAAAGTTCGAGTGTTTGGATCTATTTCTAAGTTATAAGTCCTACACTATACCTGGCATTTATAGCCTAGCTAATAATAACGGGACAGATACAATATAAACAGCACATTTGGCCCTAATTAGTAGAACTAGGAAGAACAAGAGATCACCACTTCATGATCTAGTTAATAGTCTCACGTATTTAATTATACCAGCAAGATAACTGTCATGATGGCTAATTTATGTCACCTTAACTAATCCAAGGATACCCCAATAGCTGGTAAAACACCATGTCTGTGTAAATATGCCTCTGAAAGAGTTTGTCTTAGTTAGGGTTTTTGTTGCTGTGACAAGACACCATGACCACAGCAACTCTTATAAGGAAAACATTCAGTTGAGGGGGCTCACTTACAGTTTCACAGGCTCAGTCCATTATCATCACGACATGGTGCTGGAGCTGGGAGTCCTACATCTTGCAGGCAACAGGAAGTTGACTGCCTCACTGGAGGGTATCTTGAACAAGGAAACCTCCAAGCCTGCCCCCACAGTGACACACTTCCTCTAACAAGGCCATACCCACTTCAACAAAGCCACACCTCCTAATAATGCCACTCCCTATGAGATTATGAGGGCTGTTACATTCAAACTACCACGGAATTTCTGGAAGAGACTAGCCTCTGAATTAGTAGACCAAATGAAGAAGAACACACCCGATGCCCATCCCCAATGTGGCTGGGCATCACCTCTCTCTCTCATTTTACACTGGGATATTCATCTTCAGTTGTTCGAAAGCATCACAGCTTCCAATTCTAGGGCCTTCAGACTCTGACACTTGCCACGCCCTGTCACTCCCAGCAGCCCCTCCCGGAGGCCCTCCTTGATCTTCAGATGTCCAGGCTCTTGCTAAACTACACCACCAGTGTTGTTGTCTGCAGCCTGCACACAACATGTCTTAGTCCTTTCAGCCGCTAAAATCATGGCATCCATCCATTCCTCTCATATATCTGTGTGTATCATGGAGGTTCCCTCTCCCTCCACAGCCTTGAGTGGAACACCTGGCTTCTGAGTGTCAAGACTCTGTCAATTGCGAACCTGTAAGTGGTGGAGCACTCTGCAGGTTGAAAACATGTAAGTAGGGGAGCATTCTGAAGGTCTTGTAAGCAGGGGAGCACTCTGTAGGTCATGTAAGCAGGGGAGCACTCTG